CTTGCCCCAGTGTCAGTTACTATACTGGTCTGTAGAGCAAGTTCCAGGACAGTCAGGGATACACAGAGAAACCCTCTCTCAAAGACAGACAAACAAACAAAAGACAAGAAAAAAGAGAAAAGAAACAGAAAGGAAAAAACAGTTAAATGACTATAGCACACTGGTATAGATTGCCTTACAAGTTCCAGAGTTCAATCCCTAGCACAGAGAGAATTGCAGAGATAAAAGGTTTACAGTAGTACCTTGTACTTCCTCCAAAGTACATGTAAAACTTGTAATCTTCATATTTCCTAATTACTTTTAAGGCCTTTTGGTTTAGTGAGCCATAAAAAACACCAAATCTCCATTCCACACTGCACACTTTTTCTCTAGATCAAAGTGAAATTATTTCAAGGTGAACTTTTTATAATCCATATTTCATAAGCCACATTTAATGAAATCATTAACCAATGTTCAGTGTTGTCCTTCTCTTTGTTGTTGTAAGTCAAACTCCAAGATTAGTATTCACCATCTAATTAACCTTTGAGATGATCTTCAAGGCAGTCCAGCTTGAGCTTCCAGGATTTCTTGAGTTATTAAAACCAGTGGTCTGAGTAGATTTGAAGACCTGGTTTTGTTTTCCTTGCAACACTGGATGGGCAGGTGCCACTTGGTCCAATATTAGAATGTGGTCTGGCCTAAGTCTCTAATGGATAAGGCACAGAAAGGTAAGCGAGACCCCAAGGAGCTTGGCTATAGCTTTTAGGGTATTGCTGGAAGATGGGGCTTCTGTTTCATAGTAGGTAGGGCCCGATGTGCTGGTTAAAGGGACAAATGACTCGACCTGCATGGGGAGGGCCAGAGCAAGGAGCAGCAACAGTCCCAAACAAAGTCTGACCGCCATCCTCTTACCCCTGGTGGTTGGGGTTCCGAGTGTCCAGCTTGCTGCTTGTTGAACTAGAAGTTCCCTAGGTTTTGGGCTGGTGTGGAGATTATAAACCAGGTCTTACTTTCAAGAAGACATCACAATGACAATGTCATGGTACCACACCCTCTCTTTCTACACCCAAGTACTTTTTTTGTTTTGGTTTTTAAAGCAGGATCTCAGGTAGTTTAGGCTGGCCTCAATCTGACAAATACCTTGTTTTAGAATTAAAACATTTTTTTAAAAAAGGCAAGAAGTGGTGGTACGCAATTTTAATCCCAGCATTCAGGAGGCTGAGGCAGGTGGATCTCTGAGAGTTCCAAGCCAGCCTGGTTTACTGAGTGAGTTCCAGGCCAGCCAAAACTACATAGTAAGATCCTGTCTTAAAAAAAGAAAGAAAAAAGAAGGAAGGAAATTAAAGTGTGGGAGCAGTGAATGGCTCCTCTGGTAAGTGTGCTTCTGTGTTGTTTGAACACCTTGAGTTCAGTTCCTAAGACCCATGTAGAGGTGGAAAGAAAACTGACTCCTGAAAGATGTCCTCTGAACTCCAGACATCCTCTATAACATGTGTCTTGGTTTTGATACATAGAAATCTAAAGGAAAGAATTCAAATCTCTTTTCCTAGCTTTTTCCTTTAGATGCAGAGCAATGAAGCTAAGGCTTCAAACACGCTAAATGTTCCTCCACTGAGCCATATCCCCAGCCCCACAACCCCTTTTCAAGATTTATTTAATTTAATGTATGTGAGTACACTGTCACTATCTTCACTCACACCAGAAGAGGGCATAAGATCCCATTACAAATGGTTGTGAGCCACCATGTAGTTGCTGGGAATTGAACTTAGGACCTCTAGTAGAAAAGTTAGTGCTCTTAACTGCTGAGCCATCTCTCCAGCACTCCCCACCCCCGACCCCCACCCATTTTGGGGGGGGGGGTGTTTTAAGACAGAGTTTCTCTAAAACAAAAAAACAAAAGGAAGCCGGGCGGTGGTGGCGCACGCCTTTAACCCCAGCACTTGGGAGGCAGAGGCAGGCGGATTTCTGAGTTCGAGAGTTCAAGACTAGCCTGGTCTACAGAGTGAGTTCCAGGACAGCCAGGGCTACACAGAGAAACCCTGTCTCAAAAAACAAAAACCAAACAAAAAAAAAGACCAGGCTGGACTCATAGACGCAGAATTCCACCTGCCTCTGTTCTGTCTCCCATGTGGTGGGACTAAAGGAAGGCATTTAACACCATGCCTAGCTTTTTTGTGAACAGACTACAACTTCAAGATAGACATTGATTGTTAGAGGTTAATAGTATATAGCATGAAATAAAGTTTTTACCCAGATAAATAATTATTGGTACTTGTTGTATTTTCATATAGTTAGTGTGTGTGTGTGTGTGTGTGTGTGTGTGTGTGTGCGCGCGCGCACACGCGCATGTACATAGACATGTATGTTACAAAGAGTATACTTTCCTTTTTTAAAAAAAGATTTTCATTTTATGTATATTTATTTTTTTATGGGTACATGTATGTTTGTGTTGTATTTATGTACATCATATACTACAGGAATGCAAGGGGTCAAAAGAGGCATCAGATCCCTTGGAATTGGAGTTACAGTTTCGAGTGGCCATGTAGGCGCTGGGAATCAAACCTCAGTCCTCCGCAGGAGCAGTACATGCTCGTAAGCAGTAACTCATCTCTCTAGCCCCAAATATACTTTTGTACTTAGAATTTTAGCTCAATATCAATCACTAGCATTCTCATTTCATTAAAAACTTAAAAACAAGCTTGCATGATGGCACCTTTAATCCTGGCACTGGAAAGGCAGATAAATCTCTGAGTGTGGGGCTAGCCGAGTTTACATAGTGAATTTCTGGATGGCCAGAGTCACATAATAGAGGCCCTGTCTCAAAAAACCAAAAAATAATTTTAAAAATTCCAGCCTCTAGTCAGTGGTGGCACACACCTTTAATCCTGACATTTAGGAGGCAAAGGCAGACAGATCTCTGAGTTCGAGGCCAGCCTGGTGTACAGAAGGAGCTGAGTTCCAGGATGGCCAGAGCTACACTGAAGAACCCTGTCTCAAGGAAGAAACAAAAACAAAACTCCAGCCTCAGATTTTGAAAAATTCTCAAGGTTTTATAGAAGATTGGGGGGAAAAAATGAAATTACTGTGACTAGTTCCTATAGAGAGGACTTTCTGTTTAATTTCTCTATTTTATCTGCATATTCTTGGGAAAGTTGAGCATATAGTATTATTACTTATTTTGGAACTGGAAACTAAACCTAGCACTGCAGGCATGCTGAGTGTCCAGCTTACACTGAGCTGCACCCTCAGTTCCTAACTAGCAATTTTGTGAGGTCTAAGGAGCTTGATGGAATTCAAACTAGATGAACTGACGTAGAAATGTCTTTCAGACAAAAAAGAATAAAGGAGGGAAGAGAGGGAAGGAGAAGGCAGACTGACTGTAAGGTATGATAGCTCATGCCTCTCAGCACAGCGCTTTAGCAAGCTGAAGCAGAAGGATTACAGGAAGTTCAAGTTAATCCTGGGTTACATACAGAGGTTATCTCAAAAAACAAGACAAAAAGCTATGAAAATTAGAGAAATAATAAATGAAGAGGAATCAAGTCTCTTTGGAGTAAGTAAAAGTAAATAATTTTTGAAAAATATTTGAATTTTTTTTATTATTTATTTATTTATTTATTTATTTATTTGGTTTTTCGAGACAGGTTTTCCTCTGTGTAGCCCTGGCTGTCCTGGAACTCACTCTGTAGACCAGGCTGGCCTTGAACTCAGAAATCCACCTGCCTCTGCCTCCCAAGTGCTGGGGTTAAAGGCGTGCACCACCACTGCCCGGCTTGAAATTTTAAAGTGACGTAAATGATTAGAAATTAAAGCATAATTTTCATTTTCTTCCTAGTTCAGAGAGAAACTTTAAAATTACTATCCTGTTGGTCTTTTATTTTTAAGAGGATATTTACTTGTTTTCATCAATACACTTACTTTCTCTTTGCTTTTCCTAAGCCACTGCTTCCTGCTTCTTCAGGAATCTGGTTCTCTTTCTTAGAATCTTTAGGAGACAGACTGAAGAATTCCCCGATGCCTTTTTGCCACTTGGGAGTTGGGCGCACACAGACTGGGTTCCCTCCTGCATACTTATTTTCAGCTGTAAGATAGAAACAGTACTAAATAAAAACAAATGCAATTGCCATTCTCCACCCCACCCCCAGACAGGGCAGCCCTGGGTGTTCTGAAACTCAATCTGTGGACCATACTGGCCTTGAACTCACAGAGACCCACCTGCCTCTGCCTCCTGAGTGCTGGGATTACAGGCGTGCACCATCACTGGCAATGCCATTCTTTAGCATCATACTCCAGGTATTAAGTGTTCTATCTTAAATTAGAAAGTGAAGGCTGGAGAAATACTCAGTGGTAAAGAACACTTGTTGTCTTTCAGAATACTAGAATTGGGCTGGAGAAAGGGCTCTGCATCTAAGCATACTTGTTTCTTTGGCACATTACCCAGGTTCCATTCCCACATAGTGTCTTGAAACCTTTGTAACTCCAATTCTGAAAATCTGATACCTTCTTCTGGCCTAAATGGGCACACATATAGTGCACAGACATATGGTGAGCAAAATACTCATGCACATAAAATAAATCTTAAAACAAAAAATGAAGACTAGAGTTTGATTCTTAACCCCCATATCAAGTGGTTCACAACTACTTGTAACTCCAGCTCCATGGAATCCACTGTCAGGTATCCATATACAGGTCTCTCTGTCTCTGTCTCTCTCTCTCTCTCTTTCTCTCATACACACACACACACACACACACACACACACACACTTATATATAAATCACTTGATGCAGAAGCCTGATGTCTTAAATTCAATCTCAAGATACCACATAAAGGTGGAAGTAGAGGGGCTGGAGAGATGGCTCAGCAGTTAAGAGCACTGTTGCTCTTCCAGAAGTCCTGAGTTCAATTCTCAGCAACCACATGGTGGCTCACAACCATTTGTAATGGGATCTGAGTCCCTCTTCTGATGTGTCTGAAGACAGCTACAGTGTACTCATATACATAAAATAAATAAATCTTTAAAAAAACAAAAAAGGTGGAAGTAGAAAACCAACTCCCAGAACTTGTCTTCTAGCCTTATTTGTGCCACAACACATCTCCCCCCATAGCAACAGTAATACATTTTATAAAATGTATTTTTCCTTAATATGTTAGTGCCATGTAGGATAAACTGTCCGAATTTTATTTAGTAGAGTTATTAATTTATTTACTTATTTATGAGGGTTTATGAGTGTAGATATGGTTCAGAAATTGAACTCTGGGCCTCACATGTGCTAGGCAAGTGCTCTACTACTCAGGTATATTTCTCAGAACGATTAGGCTATTTAGTTAAAGAACATATACAGTGTGATCCAGGCTAGTGTCAGAGACCTGTAATCTCAGCTACTTGGGAGGACAAAACAGAAGGCTCCAAAGTTCAGAACTTGCATGTATTATCAAGTGAGCACAAAGCAAACCCAGGCAAATTATTCAAACCCCAATCCCAGCCCGCCCCCCCCCTCAACAAATAGAGCTAAGAACACAGCTCAGCAATGGACTCTTTACCTGAAATACCCAAGGCCATAGGTTCAATCCCCAATACCTGGGGAATGGGGAAATGTGAAATTTTTTGTAAGAGTAAATCCTACTTTTAAAGCAACTGGCTCCTTTCCATGAGGAAAATCCCATTCCAGATTATATATTAATAGTAATGTAAAACAAAAATTCAGGGAAAGTTGCCCCTTTAAAAAATAGTTACAGGAGAATGGTGACTCTCACCTACAATCCTAGAAACCTGAGTTTAATCCTCTAGACCCCTAAGTTGAAGATCTTAGAAACAGAAACAGGGAGATTAGAAGTTGAAGGCCAGCTTTAGCTACATATCAAGTTTGAGACTACCCTGGATTACATGAGAACTTTTCTCAAAAAATAAAGCTTGAAAAAAAAAGTGAGGCTGGAGAGATAGCCATCATTAAGAGCACACGTTGCTTTGGTTCAGTTCATAGCACCTATATGATGGCTCACAGCCATATGTAAGCATTGGTACACATACATTTGTCCAAACAATACATATAAAACAAGTGAACCTGAAGTCAAAAGAAAAACAAAAGTTGTTCATAATTTCATCAAAGAGAACTTGCTAAGCAACTGTTCTAATACTGATTCATACTCTCACCCTTACAGTAATAGAGATGTTTTCAGTACTAGAAATATGCAGTAGTATTTGTGAATTTGGCTTTTGGTAATACTAGGGATTAAAACTGGGATCTTACGGATGCTAGACACACCGGCTACCTCTGAGCTACATTCCTAGCCCTTGATTACCCAGACTGGTCTGGGACATCAGGACTCAGGCATCCTCCTGCCTCTGACTCCCAAGTAGCTGGGACTGCAAGTCTTTTCCATCATGCCCAGCTTAGCTACATGATTTAAACCCAGTTCTACTGATTTAGTTATGTGGCCTTACGAAATTATACAATTTTTTAAAATGAGGTTATTGGGCCAGTGAGATGGCTCAATGGGTAAAGGCACTTGCTGCCACACCTAAACATCTGAGTTTCAACCCCAAGTTGAAAATAACTGATTTCCACAATTTTTTTTTGTCCTCTGACTTCCACATGTATTATAGTGTACAAATCCATTTATATATGAACACACACACACTAACACACAGAGACATTAATTACATGTATTAAAAATAATTTAAGATGAGAATGCTACAATCCCATATAGTTGTTTGGCATTAAAAATACAAATCTATGAACATTCTTCTTTTATTGGCAGAGAGAAGGTGAGTCAGTACTTCTTATAGCACAGGCTGCCATCTCATTCACTGTCTGGCCTTGACTTCCTGATCATCCTGCCTCTGATACTCAAGTGCTTGGGACTGCAAGTACGTGCCACTACACCAAACTACTTCTTGTCTTATTGTTTTTGTGAGGCAGCATATTGCTAGGACCCTCTGTCATGCCTGGTACTCACTTGGTATCCCAGGCTGGCTTTGAACATACAGTAGTCAGTCCTCTTGCCTCAGCCTCCAGAACACTTAGGATTAGAGCCATGCATCTCTTTGCCAGGCTGTTTATCACATATAAGGACCTGTTCAGTTAGCTCAATTGATTCAGCAGTAGGCCAGACAATGGCAATAAATAGAATTTATTTTAGTTGTTCAAAATATAAGATGACATTCTAAATAAATTTATCTTCTTTCAAGATTTTTGTCTACTATCTTATATGAAAAGGTATAAAAAGTAAATATATTCTGATGAAAATTTTAGATTTGGTGAAAATTTTTTTTTTATTTTTTTTTTTTTTTTTGGTTTTTCGAGACAGGGTTTCTCTGAGTAGCCCTGGCTGTCCTGGAACTCACTCTGTAGACCAGGCTAGCCTCGAACTCTCGAACTCAGAAATCCGCCTGCCTCTGCCTCCCAAGTGCTGGGATTAAAGGCGTGCGCCACCACCGCCCGGCCGATTTGGTGAAAATTTAGTGCTGAGTATGATGTAGTACATGCTTGTAATCCTAGCACTGCAGAGACTAGGCAGGAGAGAATCAAAGCCAATGGGGCTAAATGCACATGCAGATCCTATCACAAATAAATAATGATGGTGGAGAGTTGAGTTCATATAAAATCCCATGAAAAGTCAGAACATAGCAAGGATCTCATCTCAAAAAAAGTGAATTTGGGTGTGGCAGTGCATATTTGTAATCCCAGCAATCAGGAGAGGGAGAAGGCAGGAGCAGGGTGTAGATGTGACTCAGTTGCCTAGCATGCACAAACTCCTAAGTTAGATCCCAACACAGACTAAAGCTGGCACCCATGGCCTAATGTGTGAAGTCCCAGCAGTGGGGTGGTAGAGGGCAGAAGGATCTGGAGTTTAAAGGTATTCTTAGTACATTTTTGAAGCCAGCCTGGGCTACATGAGACCTTGGAAGAAGGAAAAGAGAGGGAAGGCGAGAGAACAAAAGGGAGGAGGGAGGAAAAAAGGAAGGTCAGGTCAGGAAGGAAAGGGGAAGTAGAGGAAGAGGGAAAAGCAGAAACAAAGGGAAAACATACAGGGGTAGTGTGGTTGAGATGTAGCTCAGTGGTGTAGTACAGACAGACAGACAGACAGACACACACACACACACAAACACACACACCCCTACCTACAGAAAACATGGTAGTACTGTCAACCATCACCCTGAATCTAATGAGGAGGCACTTAAGTAATCTCCAAGAAAATAGTAACTATTAATAAAAATTTTAAGAACACCATTCAGCAAAACAAAAAAACAAAACAAAAAAAACAACCTAGGTTTAAAAATAAACTGTCCCTCACCACCAAGACATGAGGTTTTCATTAGACCCTCACATCCCAATCCAAGCCTGTTGAAAGACTAAGGCCCCCTTAGAGGGTGAGGAAGAAATTTAGGGGTGAGAATGTAAAGAGAAACAAATTCCAGAGAAAGGAAACTAAGTAAAAATAAATCCACTACTGGTCAGGGCCACACAGATCAGGACTGCAGTGCCAGTCCTGATACTTTCAGGGATGTTACTTCAGAAGCTTCCAGGACCCTTCCTACCTTTTCTCGACGAACTTGAGGAAGAATTGTTGACAAAGGAGGAGGACCCAAGCACCTTCCTGGGGGCTTGAGAAGCCACCACTGCAAAGAGAGGTAAAGAGGGGAGTTCAGAAAAGGCAGGGGAGTTCGGACCCCCAAGCTTTGTTCTACCACAGTCCCAGGCTAGCGGAGAGTATGGAGATGCACAGCAGCAAATGTCCTTGCCCGGCCTCTGCAGCTTCTCAGAGGTGAGGGCCGGGAGCCAGCCTCCTAGCTTCTCAATGGGAAGCAGCCATGGGCATCTCCACCCCAGGGACGGGCTTCCTAGGGAACCCCTGCCACCTCGCTGCATCCCTTTACCTTTTCTGTAGGCTCCTGGGACGTAGTTTGCTTTGGTCCGCACCATGTTCACACAGGAAGAGACAACTTTTCACCGACTCCCCAACTGCAGATACCTCAAGTGGACAAGAACCCGGAAATGATGTTCCCGCCAGAGTTTAAAAAGGTCTCTTTCCCGCGCGCTCCAAGCTCTTGAAACCGCGGCTCTTACTGGTTCCGCGCCTTCACCCTGAACCAATAGGCAGCGTCCAGCGGTGACAGCCTCGAGACTTCAGGCTTTGCTGGCCAGTCCATCAGCCCCAGTGGTCACGATTTGTACCTCCTCCTGGTGGGCAGTGCCGGGACTCTCCAGGGGGGCGCCAAGTGTGGGAGCTGAGATAGGTAGTTTGTGAACTAGCAAAGTGATCCACTTATAAAATAAAACTAAGTAAAGATAGGAATTGTAATATCTCTTCAAAAGTTACGACAGAGTTAAATCCCTGATGATTAAACACTGAAAGTGAAAATAAAGTGGACTTTTCAACGTAAATCAAAACTAAAGTTTAGTATCCTAAGGGTGAACTCTACTGTGTTCTCAAACAATTTTCTGAGGTGGGAGAAAGAAAAACTCAATTTAGTTTACTGTGTTTTAAAAACTGTTTTTGAGCCGGGCAGTGGTGGCGCACGCCTTTAATCCCAGCACTTGGGAGGCAGAGACAGGCGGATTTCTGAGTTCGAGGCCAGCCTGGTCTACAGAGTGAGTTCCAGGACAGCCAAGGCTACACCGAGAAACCCTGTCTCGAAAAACAAAAAAATAAATAAATAAATAAATAAAATAAAAACTGTTTTTGGATCTCAGGAGACTATAAAATTTGGACAAATTGTCCATACACATATAAAAATAGGTAAGTAAACAAATAAATAAACAAACAAACATGGCCAGAGAGCTAAAAATCAGCCAAACGTAAAAGGGTCACAGCACCAACCCACGTGAAGATAACCCTGAAAAAAAGAGATCATAAATATTCTCTGACCCATGTTTCAAATTACAATATTCCTAAGAATTTGTGTTTGTTCTGAATGCTATGCATGAAACACAACCATATGTAATTGCTGCAGGATTGCTTTCTGTTAATGCTTATATGAAAGACAACCTTCAAAGTGTTATAGAGCTTCTTCTTTGCAGTGGATTATGCTTGAACAGCAATAAAAGCTACTCAGGGCCTTAACCAAATGAACAATTCATAGTATATTCAATTTCAAGACTTTAAAACCAGGCCTACTGCACCTTGTAATCTCAGCCCTGAGGAAGCAGAGAGACTGGTAAATTGTGAGTTCCTTGCCAGTCTAGGCTTGGTCACAATATTTAAAAAAAGAGAAAAAAAAAGAAAGGAAGAAAAGAAAGGCCTAGAGAGATGACTCAATGCTTAAGAGTATTGGCTGCTTTTTCCAGAGAAACCTAGTTCAATTCCTAGCACCCATATGGCAGCTCACACCTGTCTGTAATCAAACTCCAAGTGATTTGGCACCCTCACACAGACATGCAGGCAGGCAAAATGCCAATGTACATAAAATAAAAATAAATAAACCATTTATTTAAAAAAGAAAGAAAAGGAAAGCTAGACTGAAAACACAGGAGCTGGAGAGAAAACTCAGCAGTTAAGAGAACTGGCTGCTCTTCCAGGAAACTGGAGTACACAGGTTCAATTCCTAGCACCTACACGACAGCTCACAACTGTTTGTAACTCCAGCTCCAGGGGATCTGAGACATTGACACAGACACACTTGGGCAAAATGTGAATCAATGCACATAAATCATTAAGAAAAAAAGAGCCAGGCTGTGGTGCAGGCCTTCAATTCTAAGCACTCAGGAGGCAGAAGCAGGTGAACCAAGGCCATCCTGGACCATTACAGAGTCAGGTCCAGGAAGGCCAGGGCTACACAGAGAAAAGAAAACCAACCAGCCAACCAACTGAAAAACAAACAACTCAGGTGAAAATAATGAAAGGGTTTAGGCATTATAATGTTAGCAATCGCCTGTAATTTATCTTAACCCTCGAGTGTTAGATCACTGCCAGATTCCCACATAAAAATTAACAAGCCAATCAAAAGCATTCCGTTGTTGTCATTCTTTCACCTTCATCAAAATGCACATTGGTTCTTTTTTGTTTGTTTTATTTTTATAGACAGGGTTTCTCTGTGTAGCTCTGCTGTCTTGAAACTCACTCTGTAGACCAGGCTGGCATCCAATTTAGAAATCCACCTGCTTCTGCCTCCCAAGTACTGGGATCAAAAGTGTGCTCCCCCTGGCCAGACTTCACATTGGTTCTTAAATAGTATTGTTTCCTCTTAAATGCCTTCTACTCCAGACTGAATTGCCTAGTTGAACTCAGCATTCTAGAGTCCTGCAAAGAAAGGACCCAGAGAATATGTCTTTTCTCTTACATTTCAAGCAGATGGCTAGAGAGAATTTCAAATATGCCTTTTCACACAGGAACAATATACATTTTATTGTAGTTGTGTTTGTTTTTGAAACAGGGTTTCTTTGTGTAGCCCTGGCCATCCTGGAACTAACTCTGTAGGCCAGACTGGGACCAAACTGAAAGAGATCCTCTTGTCTCTGCCTCCTGAGTGCTGAGGTTAAAGGCGTGTGCCACCACTGTCCTGCTTTTGTTTGTCTTTTAATACCAATGGTGTCTATGAAGAACACACAAAAAAGCACGATACTTAGCAAAAGTTTTTTTATTAAAATGACTACTCTGGAATCTGGGGATGTGACACAATTGGCATAGTACTTGCCAAATAGGCATAAACTCTTAGCTTGCTTCCCAGCACCACATAAAGCTAGGCATGATGGCACATGAGTGCAATCAGAAGTTCAGTGCTATCCTCAGTCACTGGTGAGCTCATGGCCAGCCTGGGATATGTGAACCCTGTCTAGAAGAATGGGTGGAGAAGAAAGAAGAGAGGCAGAAGATGGTAATTAGGCTTCAGGCAGCGGGACGGTCTCTCAGAACTGAGGCCAGCCTAGAGTTCCAAGATGGCCTGGACTACAAAAAGACCCTGTCTCAAAAGCCCAAAACAAGGGCTGGAGAGATGGTGCAGTGGTTAAGAGCACTGACTGCTCTTCCAGAGATCCTGACTTCAATTTCCATCAACCACATGGTGGCTCACAACCATCTGTAGTGGGATCTTATGCCCTCTTCTGGGGTGTCTGAAGAGAGCTACAGTGTATTCATATATAATAAATAAATAAATAAATAAATAAATAAATAAATCTTTTAAAAAAAGACCAAAACAAAACAAAAAACATTGGTTTAGAGAAGTCCTTCTCTACAATTAAAACACAGAGTTATGTGATTTAAACATGAAAATCTTGAAGAGTTGAGGCCTAATGCATTAAGAAAAGTTGTAGTAAGGACAGCAAAATGGTTCAGCAGGTAAGCACACTTGCCACCAAACCTGAGGATTTGAGTTCTGTTCCCAGGACCCACATGCTACAAGGACAGAACTGTCTCCTGCAAGGTGTCCTCCTCCAATCTCTACGGTGCCATAGCACTGAAACACACCCACCAACACAAAACAAACGCTTTAAGAAAAAAAGAACAGAAAAGTTGAAGTGTGCATGTATTGATGGAATTTCTGATTAAATTTATATCTTCCTACTAGGGATATGACTTGTATATCATGTACAGCCTTGTATATCAAGTACAGTCTCTACCACTGATCTACTAAACTATGGGAATGAATAAATCTAGAGAAGATTTTAGAGACATTATTTGAATCACTAGAATTAATAATCAGATTAGATTATTATGAAAGGATGAAATTTATTCTCACCATTAATTAACATTATTTTTTTAAAAAAAGTTGTTGGGTCAGTGAAATGGCTCGGAAAGTAAAGACTCTTGCTGCCAAGCCTGACCACCTGTGTTTGATTCCCAGGATGCATACGGTAGAAGGCAAGTACTCTCCCACAAGCTGTGCTCTGACTGCCACTTGTGCCCACAGACATACACATGGACAAATACACAAATAGATAAGATAATATTTTAAAGACAGGGTCTCACTAGTAACCCTAGCTGGCCTGGAGTTTACTACAAAGACCAGGCTAGCCTTGAACGAAGGTCCACCTACCTTTGCCTCCTAGAGTTAAAAGCGTGTGCCAGCATGCTCAGCTAATGTAATTTTTCCAAGATTTTTAATTTAAAAAATTGTTTAATTTTTATTATGTGTAAGTGCCTGCAAATATGTATGTGTATCACACGCGTGCTTGGTGCCTTCTTAGGCTGGAAGAGATCGGAGTCCCTGGAACTGGAGCTCCAGATGTTTTTAAGCCTTCATGTTCTGTATTAGTGAGATTCTAGTCTCAATTACAGACAGCACTAAAAATGAGAACCACCATCCTCAGATCAAATAGTAGTACCGTGCTTACAAATAGCTTGCCAAGAGCTGGAGATTTTGTTTTCCTTTCGTTGTCCAACTGGGGAGTGAACCGAGATTCTTGCATACGCAGGAGGCAGGGTATCACTGAACATTTTGGTTAGTATCCCTCCATTCCGCCTCATTCTAATTTTGAGACAGGGCCTCGCTAAATTACAAAGGCTGGCTTTGAGTTCACTTAATACCACAAAAGCAGGCTTTGGATTTGATATCCTCCTGACAACGGCTGTTTTAAATTTTTGTAATCAAAATCAGACTAGATTTGAAGACTATACCCATCTTTTGTGGTCCTACTTTCATTTCTACTACAGCTGATGTGTTTTTAAAAAGACAGAGTATGTTCTGTGGGTATGGGTATGGGGGAAGGGGATGTCTCAGTGGGACCATGCTGAGGTATCTCTAACCCCTGAGGGACCAGCCGCACACTAGTATAGTATAGAATAGAGTTTATGAGGAGGGGAGCCAGGCGGGTTGTAGAGGCAGAGAGAGAGAGAGGGAGGAGAGAGGGAGAGGGAGAGGGAGAGGGAGAAGCAGAGGAGTAGAGACCGGCCATGAACACGTGGAGAGAGGGGGAAGGGAAGGGGAAAGGGTCGAGGGGACAGGGAGATCAAGAGAGGAGGGGCAAGCAACCCCGTTTATAGTGGGCCAGGCCTACCTGGCTGTGCCAGGTAACTGTGGGGCGGAGTTTAGACAGAATACTAACAGCAGCTCTTTTATAGGTGCCTGTATTGTCTTCTTAACACAATTGCCAGTGCCCTTCCTGGAGTTGCCCCTCAGTGCCAAAGACTCCTCCGAGCTCCTTTCTCC